CAGAAAATATGTTCAGCAACAACAACATTTTCAACAGCAACAAAACAATTGCTTTCCAGCTAAACACAAGGCACACACAATCCATAGAGTTTTTTGAGAAATAGCAGCCTTAATTTAAAATCAACGATCAGCACTCTCTTAATTAAAGATGATACTATACAGGTAATCCTCGGCTTGCATTGCAACCATTAATTAAATGATCGTCCAAAGTTACAACGATGCTTTGTTTAAGACAAATTGTTGAGGTAATTCCCCGTTAGGAGAATGAGCGCATACAGGGAGATGTAGTGAGAGAAGTGTTTGAATAATACACACACAGCACACAGATACACTGTACAGTCAATGTAGGTTTTTACTTCCAATAAACCTTTAAGCAAAGTCCAAACAAGCAGTCCAAGTCATTCACATTTAAAGCAGTCAGTGTTCAGTCCAGGGATAATTCCAGTATCAAAGTCCAGTATCAAAAACAGTTCAGTAACAGACGTACATCAAATCCAAGAATAACAGTCAACAGGGAAAAATGGAGGAACGGCAACTCTTTCCAACAGAAGGAAACAGAGACTCACTCACTTCACTGAGACTTCTGAGACTAAAACAACCCAGGTTTCTGGCTCCATCTTATGGCCATTTGCCGAACCACACCCAATTGCAGTTTTTGCATTCTCTTAAAGGCATAGTAATAAAATGTCTATCTTGGTTTATATATTTCCAACCCAAATAACTGTTAGGTGACTTACATTCTTAACACAAATACAGCACCCAGGGTCACTGGGTTGCCATATATGACTTCCCAGCCGGTTGTCAACAAGCAAAGTCAAATCCGGGAAGCTGGACTTCCTTGGCAATCGCATGACTCACTTAAAGACCGTGGCAAATAATGGGGTATAATTCACTAAAGAACAGGTCCCCAGCCCAATTGTGGTCTCAAGTCAAGGACTCACTGTAATTCTGCTGCTGCAGAACCTGGACAATAACGTCTTTTGAAATAATAATGGTGATGGTAATAATTACGATGATAATGATGTGGTATTCCTTGGTACAGGTAGTCTTCAGCTTACGGCCATAATAGAGCCCCAAATTTAAGTTGGTGAGCGGAACAGTTGTTAAGTGAGCTTGTGATGACCCGGGGCATGACACAAAAATAACCAAGTCACAAAAATAGAAGAAAGTCTCTTTAATGCCTCCAACTTGGCCCCAATGTCCAACTATCCTCTGCAGGATATCAAACTCTTAAAGAAAACAGTTTATGGAGGGAATAAATGCAGTCTGCACCCAAAGTAAAGTTAATTCAAAATTTAAAAACCCAACACAAACCACACTGAAGGAATTACTACGGCAGGCAAGGATGATTAATTGCGGACTTCTAGCAGATAACATAGCAACCAGTTGGGAGGAAGCCAAAACACAGATAAGCTCTGACAAGAATGCACGCTTTGCTTCCAGCACCTTTGCCATGCGCAGTTTGTCCTTTTAAACAGTCTTCCCAGCTGCAGCCCATGAAGGGGATCAGGGCCCCTTCCTCCCCCGTAGATCATGCCACTCACATTTCTCCCTTATCCACTCCTCCCTGCATGCCCTAGGATGAAGAGGGGATGGGCCTGGGTCTTCCGCTGAATGCTCATCCAGCCTGTGCCCTTCCCCAGTTTCCTCCAGAACTGCCGGAGCCACACTCCCATTCCCTGTCAGCTGTTCCACCTCTCCCTCGGAGTCAGACTCCAAGAGGGGCATGACAGAGCTTTGCCCGATTTTACGACCTTTCTTGCCACAGATGTTAAGTGAATCACCGCAGTTGTTAAGCTACTAACACGGCCGTTAAGCTTCCCCATTGACTTTGCTTGTCAGAAGGTTGCAAAAGGGGACAGCCTGACCCTGGGATGCTACAAATGTCGTAAATATGAACCAGTTGACAAGTATCCAAATTTTGATCCTGTGTCCATGGGGGATACAGCAATGGTCATCGGTGTGAAAAGCGGTCATACGTCACATTTTTCAGTGCCATTGGAACTTTGAACGGTCACTAATTCAACTGTTGTTAAGACGAGGATTACCTGTATGGTGTGTTTACAGATTAACTGAGTTGGAAAGTCACCTTATAGGTCATCTAGTCCAACCCCCCCACCCAAGCAGGAGAACCTTGCATACCATTTCTGACAGATGGCAATCCAATCTCTTCTTGAAAGTCTCAAGTGGTGAAGCTCCCACAACTTCCGAGGGCAACTTCTGTTCCTTTGTTTGATTGCTTTCACTGTCAGAAAATTTCTCCTTATTTCCAGGTTGAATCTCTCCTTGATCAGTTTCCATCCATTATTCCTTGTCTGGCCTACAGGTGCTTTAGAAAATAGCTTGACCCCCATCTTGTCTGTGGCAGCCCCTCAAATATTGGAAGACCGCTATCATGTCTCCCCTGGTCTTTTTCTTCACTAGACTAGCCAGGCCCAGTTCCTGCAACCGTTCATCGTATGTTTTAGCCTCCAGAGACCCCTAATCCTCCTGGCTGCTCTTCTCTGTACTTTTTCTAGACTCTCAACATCTTTTTACAGTGTGGTGACCAAAACTGGATGCACGATTTTACAGTATTTTATAAAGACGGCTCTGCTAAAATGTTCCCTTAGATGGGGATGAACTGCAGACAGAGGCATGAAGGTAAAAAATGATGTACGCTTGTGTGTGTGTGTGTGTGTATGATAGAATCACAGATACATATGCACACACACACACACACACACTGGGGGGGGGGGGATAACAAAAGGCCCATTTCCAGGCTAGAGAAAAGCTTGCTGCTTGCTCAGGTGTCAAAATTTCAAAGTGTTTGTCTGGGCTGTGTAAATGTCACAGAAAAAGCGAGCGAGAGATTCTGCCTTGCAGGAAATGAACAAAGGCAATTTAACAATTAATGAGCTGGATTTTTTTTCCGTTCCAGGCGCTCAGCCTGTGTAGAAGCCAGGAAGCAGCTGTTGTGCCTTGCTAAATGCTAGTCAGATCCACATGCCCCGTTTAGCCAAGATGAGTTAATAGCCCAGCCGCTGCATTCTCACAACCATTAGTATTTCATCTTGGTTAGCTTATTTTTGTGAGGCAACATAGACGGAGAAATCTAACTTGTAGGGCCAGAATAACAGAGTTGGAAGGGACCTTGGAGGTCTTCTAGTCCAACCCCTTGTACAAGTAGGAAACCTTGTAACATTTAAGCTTATGGATCTGTGAAGGCTCAATAGCAGTAACTCAATAGCAGTAACTCAATAGCAGTAGCTGTGAGAGGG